GGAGGCGGGACCAGCTCATAGTGGTCTCCGGCTTTCTTTTGAGCAGGCTTGGCTACCTGCAGCTTCGGCCGCCACTCCTCCTTAATCTTTTCTTTTGGTAACGGAGTGGACGGGAGTGGCGGCGAAAATATGGGAGGGGGATCCTGCAAAATGGGAAGCACAAAAGGATACACTACAGACTCGTGCTCCCGGTGAGAAACAGCATGCAGAGGCGATGAAACAGGGAGAGTATTAGCAATGGAAAATGTTATTCGCTCCTCGCCATCCCTCAAGACTAAGATCCCATCATGTACATCTATGAGAGCCTTGGCGGTGGCCAAGAAAGGCCTTCCCAGTATAAGGGGCACTTCTGTGTCCTCATTGATGTCCAAGACAACAAAATCCACAGGATAAAAGAATCTGCCAACCTTAACCAGAAGGTCTTCCACTATGCCCCTAGGATGAACTATAGATCGGTCAGCTAATTGAAGACTCATCCTGGTTGCATTGGGTTCACCTAGGCCTAGTTTCTTGAACAATTTATATGGCATAACATTGTGATGGCATTACAGTGGGCATTCGAGTCCTTCGGATTAGGAATGGTATGACCTGACAAGGTACCTAGAGCCCTCTGCGCCACTGCTTGAGCCACACTCCCTAGCTGGGTTTGGATATCCTGCAAGACAGCCTGTGTGTTCCTTTGGCCAGCTTCAAGAGCCAAAAATTTGCACGAGGCCTTTTCCATTAACTGCTCGATAGTATTAAATTTCTGAGCACTGGAACTGGAAAGAGAACCCACCAAGTCCCGCAGTTCAGCTATCGGATCATTCTGCACTAGGGTTGCAGGGCTGCACAGGCTGCTGGAAGGGTCGCGCCTGTGGTTGAGCAGCATGCCCCTGCATGGGCTGGTAGAGAGGTTGCTGCTGTTGCTGGAATTGCCCCTGTCTGGGATGATATGGCAGCCTCTGGAAGCATGGCGGTCCTTGGGAGGCTGGTGGTCTAGGATTGGCCCCAGCCTAGGAGAAGTTGGGATGCTGGCGCCACCCCTCGTTGTACGTGTTACTGTAGGGGTCATTGCGCCTAGCATTATTGATGAAGTTCACCTGCTCCTGGGGTGTGGTCGACTCCCTCATCGCCTGGCAGTCTTCCATAGTGTGATGGGTGCTCTCACACCACTGGCAGTGCATCGCCTGCTGCTGTCCTGTACCTGAAATCATCCCAGATCGATCGATGGCTGAAACCCGCTTCGATACCACCTGCACCAAATCAGATGACTGGGTGGCTACAGCATGCACACCCCGCCCTGGTGCTCGTCTCGATCTCCTCACAGTTCCCTAATCATAGCCCTGCTCTGCCATCTCTTCAAAAAGTTGATTCCGCTGTGGTGGGGTCTTGGTAAGCATATTCCCGCCACAAACCGAGTCAAACAGCTGCTTATCTTCTGGGAAGAGGGCATGGTAGAAGGTGCCCACCTTGAAGGCGTCGGTAAAACCATGGTTGGGACACTTGAGGAAGAGAGTGGTGTACCTCTCCCAAGCATCCCGGATGGTCTCATCCTCATCCTGATCAAAGTGGGTAATTTGCTTCTGCAGGTCCGCCGTCTTGGACGGGGGATGGTAGCGAGTGAGGAACTTGTCCGCCAAGTTGGCAAACTTGGTGATCGATCCAGGGGGCCTGGTGTCCAGCCACTCCTTGGCCTGCCCCTCCAAAGTGAATGGGAAGTACCTCAGCTGGATAGCATCGGCTGGGACCCCATTTATCTTGATTCCAAAGATGAGCTCGTGGAATCGCCTCAGATGTGAGCGGGGGAACTCCCCCTCTTTGCCACGGAATACTACCGAGCCGCGCAACATAGTGATGACCGAGGTGCTCACCTCAAAGTTGTTGGCTGGGACTTGAGGGCGCTGAATGGGAGACCTCATGTCCGCGGCTCTGGCGGTCCAGTAGTACCCCATGGTGTGCTCATCGAGGACAAGCTCATTATTAACAAGATCCCCCGTGTCTTCCTCTTGATGTATGTGCAGCTGCTCCAAAGCTTCCGCCGCAGCCAGTCGTGCCTTCAAAGCTCGCTTGAAGTTCCTACAGGTCCGTTCAAGCTCTTGGTCTAATGGTAGTAATTCTCCCGACTGGCTACGGGTCATGCACTACCTGCACACAATCAGCAAAAGCAACCCATGAAGGCACACAAGTGGAAGAGAAAATGCAGTAAAGAAAAAGCTAGAGGTCCCCGGCAACGGCACCAAAAACTTGACACGCTAAAACACAATACCAAACTACGACCAAGTGTAATCGCAGTCTGGAAATGCAGTAATAGGCAAGCTCTAATGTCAACCCGGGGTCTAGATCTACTGTCTACTTCGTGAATATCTATTATCTAGCCAACTAAGTCAAGTGATTGTTGATTTAAGTAAAAGCGATAAGAAAGCAGGAAATGATTCGGTTTTCTAAAGCAAAGGAAGAGTCACTCGGGAATGAGTCCCCCTAGATCCTTAGTTAGTTCACAGTTGTAATTATTTTTGGTTGCTTTAATGCTGATTATACTGTGGAAGATCCGACAGTAGCTTGGAATCTCTTAAGCTGACCAAGCTCTCTCGGCCAAACTTCCCGGCATACGACTAGTCTTCACCGGGATAGAACGCTGAGGCAATGAACACAGAACTCCACTACTGGAATTAGATTCCAGTACAAAGCAGTGAATCGACTAACTCTCGTATAATCGATTCACTACTACCGACCGAAGAAGCTCTAACAACCTAATCAGATTCTATCTATCTCAGGTTGCAGCAGAAATCAATAAAAGGTGATCAGACTTCAATTGACTCAAACAAAACACTTCAATCGATTATAATCAAGAAATTTCACAATCCAAATGTGATTACAATCAAGATTCCTAACACATGGAATTAGGGTTCTTCATATCCAAGTGAGAGAAAGTTCTACTCCATAGAGAGAGAGAGAGGGAAACAGAATACAAAGCAGTCATACTCATAACAATGAGAAGAATCTGCTCTGGGATGTCAATCTTCACTCTTGGGGATGCAATCTGGGCTTCAATGGTGAGAAATCCACTCCAAATAGCTCCTAGGGTTTGTTCTTCGCACTTTCTCTCTCTAAAACTCTGCTTTTGCTCCAAAAAGTCGATTTCCTCTCTTTTGGCTCGAATCTGCCTCAAAAAGTCAGACTCTGGGTAAAACACGGTCGAGGGCACGGCCGTGCTTTGCTTTTGCCCGTCCGTGCCCTTGCCACGTGTTAAAAACACGCCCGCGTCGGCCAAAACACGGTCGTGCCTAAAAATGGACACGGTCGTGCTTTGCTTCACTTCCGCCCGTGTTTTGGGCTTCACAGCAGCCTCCAAAAATCAACCCTCGGCATAAATAACACGGTCTCGAAACACGATCGTGTTTTTATTTAGTCCAGCCCGTGTTTTCCTTCCTCACCAGTTCAGCTCTCGGCATAAATAACACTGGCGTGCTCTTTTCGTGTACACGGCCGTGTTTGTATTTAGTCCTGCCCGTGTTTTGGCCCCAGCTCAACCGAATGACCTCCAAACGTCCCGAATCTCGTGCTTAGCCTTTCCTTCGACGTCTGGGACCTGAAATATGACAAAGTAGCACAACCCAGCGTAAAATGGGCCAAAAATACACGACTACGAGCCGCAAACGGATAAGAACTAGGGGTGCAAACATGTGCAAATACATCGTTATCAATATCGCAGGCAAGGATAGCCCAAAACCAGGACTCGCTTATAATCTTGCTGCAGGGAACAATGAAAGGGATTGTGAGAAGAATTGGAAGGAGCTGTGGAAATGGAAAAGTCCCTAGTCGTGTCAAGTTTTTCCTGTGGCTCGCAACACATAATAGGCTCCTTACCAACAAGGAAAGAGAAAGGCGCAAAATCTCCAACAATGGAAACTGTGATCATTGCATCGGGGTGGATGAGACTGTTGGTCATATCCTCCATAATTTCGCAGAGACAACGGGAGTCTGGAATCACTTCAGAAACATGCTCAAGGAGAAGAACGTGAATGTCGATTTCCAGTGCTGGCTCTCCAGGAATCTTCAGGCTAAGAAGACTAGAACTGAGTTCGGACTTATCTGCTGGCTATTGTGGAAGGAAAGAAATGAGTTTGTTATGGAAGGAAAGTCATTTTCTAAGATTGGGACTATACACATGATCAATTTCTGGTTCCGAATCAACAACCAGGCCAATGAGAATGATAAACAGAGCACTTTACCAGCACAAAGCGACCGCAACACCCAACAGATTGGTTGGTCACCCCGCGTGAGGGATGGATCCAAGTTTAGACTGACGGCTCGATGGATCTACAGGGAAAGCTGCGGTAGGAGGTCTTTTGTGTGATCATCTAGGAAGGTGCAAAGGAGCCTTCACCAGCAATATGGGAGTATGCTCAATTACTCGTGCTGAACTCAAGGGAGCGGCTGAAGGACTCAAAATTGCCTGGTATAAGGGTTGCAGGAAGGTTGAACTGAACCTGGACTCTTCCACGGCAGTTGCTCTCATCAAAAATAGGAAGGACACCAATCATATCTATGACTTGTTAGTCAAGCATATTGATATCATTTTCGATAGAGAGTGGGATGTTAGAATCTCACATGTTTATAGAGAAAGTAATTGTGCAGCCGATTTTTTGGCTAGCAGGGGTCACTTGTTTCCTTTTGGGACACATTTGTTCAATGAGTGCGACCCGAACCTCTTGTATTGGCTCTCTTATAATACCATGGAGACTACCATGGATCGTGATGTTCCTAATATGAGTTAAACGACATTGGCGTCTGTTTTCTGCCAAAAAATGTAATGATGTATTGTTCAAATCTATGATATTAAAAAAAAATAAATTAAATGACCATCAACAAACAAAAGCGATAGACAAGGAAGGAAAAAGAAACGAAAGAGGAAATCACCAAAGCGCACACAAAAGAGCTGGGCAAAATTTTATTAAAAACAAAAACAAAAGAAAATGGCCGGAAATGGCTCGACCCCGTTTTTCAAATGGCAAATCCCCAAAACACCCCTCTCATTTCGTGATCTCCTTCAATCCATTCAAAATCCCCCTCCTAATTACCAATACCGATTTCCGATTACCCCTTTCCTCCTTTTTGGCTGCTGCGCCTCCGCTTTTGTGCTGCGTACTTCTGTGTATCTGTGCCTCCACGTCGATGGAGCTGCAGAAGCGCCAAGATCAGGGCCTGCCGCAGCGGAAGGGGCAGAAGCGGAAACTGGAGGAGGAAATCAAAGACGAGCAGCCGGGGATCTCACCGTCGCCGGTCGCCTCCTCCGACGCTCGCCGCGCCATCCTGTCGGAGGTAGCTGTCCAGGTCAGCATCCTCGACTCGGCCTTCTCTTGGCAAGAAGCAGATCGAGCTGCCGCCAAGCGCGCCACTCATGTCCTTGCCGACCTTGCTAAAAACGGTGGAACTCATTTCTCGCTTTTCCTTTTTCCGTGCTTCAGTTTCTGCCAATTCCCGGACCTTTACTCTCCAGCACTGGAAATTCGAGATCCTTCTGTTTGCGTTTCCGATTCTGCATGCTCTGTTACGATTCAGTAATCTGACTGACTTCTGCTTGTTGATTTTGTGTTTTTTTGGTTCTCTTTCAGATGAGGTAGTGAACGTGATTGTCGAAGGGGGAGCTGTTCCGGCTCTGGTGAAGCATCTTCAATCACCGCCGATAACTGAAGTTGATGGGAGCGTGAGGCCTTTCGAGCATGAAGTCGAGAAGGGCAGTGCCTTCGCTCTGGGATTGCTTGCTGTCAAGGTCAATTGATTAACTGATTCTGTTCTGCTTGCTAATTTTCCAACCGATGCTCAATTGATGAACAATATTACTTTCAAGGACCTGCTATTTACCTATGATGGAGTTGATTTGCTAGGGCTTGTTAATTACATGTAATTCGTGGCGTACAAAGAGATCGTGTTTTTCCTAGTATGAATTTTTCCATTAGTTGGGTTATAGATAGTCTGATTTCTGGTCCCGACGAAATGCTGATTAGTTGTGCGTGGGATCTCTGGGGAGATTTGATTTAGGAAATGTTATGTCGTAATTGAATTGTTGAAATACGGGAAGGTAGAATCACTACTGAGACTTTGGATGCTGATGGCGAATATTTTATTTTGGAGATACACCCTTGATGAAGAGGTATCTGCTAGTTGAAGGTTCTTTGTTTGGTGACGCTATACACATAAATATAATTGCCAGCCCAGCTGTTTCTTCTACTTTAGAATCCCACTTCTTATGCTATGCTTTGCCCATAACAGCCAGAGCATCAGCAACTCATAGTTGACCATGGAGCCTTACCTCATCTTGTGGACTTGCTAAAGAGGCACACCGAGGGAACAACTCGAGCTGTGACTAGTGTGGTTAGAAGAGCCGCCGATGCAATTACCAACCTCGCTCATGAGAACAGCAACATTAAGACACTCGTTAGGTTTGCTTGTTTTAGGTGTCAACTGAAATTATCTCTGAACTTGGCGTCCTATTTCTCCTCATGGTGATTGGGAATGTACTTACAGGAGGGAAGGAGGAATTCCGCCTCTTGTCGAATTGCTAGAATTCGCCGACACAAAGGTGCAAAGGGCAGCCGCTGGTGCTTTGCGAACTCTTGCATTTAAAAACGACGAGAACAAAAATCAGGTGATGGATCTTTTGAATAGCATAACTTTCTGCTAGAGAGAATCAGGTCTAATGAAGGTAATCCAAATAGTGCAGATTGTTGAATGTAGTGCGCTTCCTACTCTCATTTTAATGCTGCGGTCTGAGGATGCAGCCATACATTATGAAGCGGTATGCTATTTATTGTGCCCAGTCTACATGGCTTCTGTAGTATAACCTTTGTTTGTTTTGGATTCCACTTTTCTGCTTATCAATGGAATGTCACATGCTGCAGGTTGGCGTTATTGGGAATCTGGTGCATTCCTCCCCAAACATAAAGAAAGAAGTGCTTGCCGCCGGGGCTATACAACCTGTCATTGGCTTGCTTAGGTGTGTGTAGAGCTATATCTTAGTAACCTTACCTTTAAACGGTATTGAGTGGTACTAGGAATAACTCGATTGTTCAACCTTCTTTTATTAGCCTATCCTTATCAATGTGTATTTGTTTCAAGTTGATTTGGGTTTTCAAACTTCTAAATGTATTCATTCGAAACAGCTCGTGTTGCTCAGAGAGTCAAAGAGAGGCAGCTTTGTTACTTGGCCAATTTGCTGCAACAGATTCAGATTGCAAGGTAGTTTAAAACTCGGTTTTCAAATTGAATTTTTGGTCGAAGTTAAGGTCTATGCAGTTTACTTCTTATTCCACCATTCAAGGTCAATCTCTCCTTACATGGTAGATAAATCGTTTGCTATTTGCTAAGTTGCACAATCATATTCTTTTTGGTCTCTACTTCCCCCTATTTTGCTGTCACTTTTGTCTTCAGTGTCTCAATAAATGCCGTTTGCAGGTTCACATTGTGCAAAGAGGTGCAGTTGGACCATTGATTGAGATGCTCCAATCTTCTGATGTACAGTTGCGTGAAATGTCAGCCTTTGCATTAGGGAGAGTGGCTCAGGTTACAACTTGTTTATATGAGTTGCTTCCTTAATTGAAACTCAAGTTTAGGGCAATTATATATGAATTATGTAGTAAGGATAGGTTTCTGTTCACTGAAACTGAAGTTTAGACCAATGGCATCAAAGTTATGTAGTCAGACAAGTCTCTGTTCTAATGTGAAATTGGAGCTCAATTTCTGCAGCTTAAGTCCTTCATTATACTAGCCATTTTTCCCGTTTTAGGACCCGCACAACCAAGCTGGTATAGCTCACAACGGTGGTTTAATACCATTACTGAAGCTCCTTGACTCGAAAAATGGGTCGTTGCAACATAATGCAGCATTTGCGTTGTATGGTCTTGCCGATAATGAGGTATTAGTTGCTTTTGGTTTCTTGTAACTCGAGAACAGCTTTTAGCAGGTTTCAGCATTATTTATTAGTTGATGGAATAAATCTCAGTCTCTTTGTTTCTATGGAACAGGATAATGTGTCTGATTTTATTAGAGTGGGAGGTGTCCAGAAGCTTCAGGATGGAGAATTCATTGTCCAAGTAATGTTCATTGGTTTATTTGTTTCACTTTGTGAATTTTGGTGTTCATATGGCAGCTCAAAGCTGTTTTTGTTCGAGTGTGATATTGACCTTTTCCCTTCCGATTACTTCTTTCACACTGGGTAATTACGTCCATCATATTCCTTACTCCAGGCTACGAAAGATTGTGTGGCCAAGACATTGAAGAGATTAGAGGAGAAGATTCAAGGACGAGTGTGTTGTCTTATTCGAACAAATTTCTATTATAACTATCTATATCTTCAATTTCACATTAACTTATATGTCGTACGAAACCCTCCTGCATAGGTGTTGAAGCATTTGCTATATATAATGCGAGTAGCTGAAAAGATTGTTCAACGACGGGTTGCATTGGCTCTGGCTCATCTTTGTGCGCCTGATGATCAGAGACTAATTTTCGTAGATAACGGAGGTAAGTAGTGCTAGAGAGCTTGCAAGTTTAGCTTGAAAATGGTCAATAATTGTGTTATTTTTGGTGCTATCAATGGTTGGTTTCAGTTGTTGCGCTGCTGATGGGTTTTGAATTTTTATGTAGGATTGGAGTTATTGTTGGGGCTTCTTGGTTCTGCAAACATGAAACAGCAACTTGATGGAGCTATTGCTCTATACAAGTTGGCCAACAAAGCTATGACACTCTCTCCAGTAGATGCAGCTCCACCTTCTCCAACCCCGCAGGTAGCTTTTGGTGTTCATCACGTGATGGTTGTCATTGATGCAAATTTTCATGGTACCATATGTTGTTCTTTTTATATTTTGAACAACATGCTTTAGGAATGCATATATTTTCACAAGGAAATGTTATTTTGATCTGTGCTTTGTTAAAACATGATGGTAATTGTCTTGGATTTGATCCTATGGCAGGTTTATTTGGGGGAGCAATATGTAAACAACGCTACACTATCTGATGTCACCTTTCTAGTTGAAGGTTGTTAACTACATTATTTATTAAGGCAATGGTACTTCTGTATAATATTTAAACTATTGTCGTATTGCAACCTCTGGTGGCAAATTACACATGAAGTTCTCCTACGTTCTCCTTGCAGGAAGACGGTTCTATGCACACAGAATTTGCTTACTGGCTTCGTCAGATGCATTCCGTGCAATGTTCGATGGGGGTTACCGGGTATGTGTGCAGTTGCTAGTTTTTGAAATATTTCCTCTTATTTCCTATTCTTTAATTCTGGCTCGAGGAAGGTTAAGAGATTCTGCTGTTTAGATCTTGGCATAGAGAATAACTTATGCAATCAACTTTCCTCTTTGCAATCTGGCACCACGTAGAAAACTTGAAAATCACCTTTTCCTCCAGTGCACACTATATATGATTTATTCAATGGATCTTTTTAAATTTTCATACTTTCTTAAGGACTATAGTTGCTAAGGCATGCATGCTATCCTTAGCAAGGAACTCTGGTGAACAACAGTTGTTGATAAGGCTATTCAAAATGACGCAATTTTGTATTTCTGACCGATTTCCATAAATTAATCTTATGCAGGAAAAGGATGCAAGGGATATTGAAATTCCAAACATCAGATGGGAAGTTTTCGAGTTGATGATGAGGTCCAATAAACAAATTCCCAACTCCAGAAAATGCATTCTACCCAACTTGAAATGAAAATTTACATTCCTGGGGTTATTTGTTTATGCCAGATTCATATACACGGGGTCCGTAAATGTTGCCCTAGATGTTGCTCAAGATCTGCTCCGGGCGGCCGATCAGTATCTATTGGAGGCTCTAAAGCGACTCTGCGAGTATACAATAGCACAGGTTAGCTATTATAATCTCTGCCCGTTCAAAATAAAGAATTGAATAATTTAATGTGCATCTTCCATCCTGTTTGGGATTCCGATTGGTTGTCCAACACTAGCCTATGTTTTGGCTGAAGGACATATCCCTGGACAATGTTGCAAGCATGTACGAGCTCTCAGAATCCTTCCATGCTTTTTCACTGAGGCACACTTGCATCTTGTTCATCTTGGAGCATTTCGATAAATTGAGTGCTAAGCCCAGGTATGTTTCTCTGGTCAATCACATCGTGATCATGTCCTTGTTCATGTTCACAAGCTCATTTTTGGTAACTTCATAGCACTTTTTGAGGAGCTCATCGAGTCGTAAAATTTTGCTGTTGAGTGCGTCTGGCAGGCACTCTTACTTGATCCAGCGGATTATACCAGACATAAGGAATTACTTTGGGAAGGCACTGACCAAACCTGACCCACATAACTTGCGGCTGTAGACGACGACCGGTCTCCAGTTTCTTTGATCTCTCTAACTAGGATAAGTTGTACAGACGTGGTAGATCGTTCTTCTTGCTGACGACGAGCCGCCGAATAGTGGTTTGGTGTCATCACGACATGGCTCAGAATCATCTCCATTTGATAGAGAGAAAGAGTGCCTTGGTGTGGCATAGGGCGTGCTCAGCAGAGCGAGCTGTTCAGTATTAGTAATTGGCTAATCGCCTTCTTTCTCTGGTGCTGGCTGGGGTATGAATGCATCCCCTGCTTTGTTCTTTTTGCTGGGACTGTGATGGTTAGGTTATGTACGCGTGTTATGTAAGAAGAAACTCTTTGAGCGACGATTTTGTCATTCGAGGAGGTTCTCGTCGTTCTGTTGCGCAATAATATGGTATCGTGCATGCAGCATTTGATTCTTTCGACAAAGGTTTCGAGATGGCAAAACAAAACTCGAAGAGATCCTGTGGTTGACAAATTTGGGCTGTCTATTTGCCTCTGAGTCTGAGCTCTTGCCACCTCCATCAAGATGAAGTTATCTGTATACAACTTTAAAACTATCAGCAAGTTGGATCGTGAACTTTTGTTGTTACTATTGGGCCGATTAGTTTTGGTCGTGCTTTCGTCTATAGTCTCGGCCCAAAACTGACAGACCGAAGCAAAGCCCAGCATTCGCGGCCTAGTCTCTTTCACGGACCAATCAATCAGCACAAAACCACGTTTAAGGTTGGGGAAAAAAGACACGCTCCCCTCCCCGGTCAGCCGTCCATTTATATCCTTCAACTGGATCCGCGCCAGACCAGAGAAAACCTAAGCAGGCGGCTCACTCATCTCCGTCCGTAGGTCGCTGGTTCAGTTCAGTCTCACTTTAGTTCTGAATTTCTCTTGTTTCCCTCCACTTCTCTCTCTTTCTATCTCTCCCCATCGCCTTTCCAACACATTGCATCGTTGAACAATCTCTGCTTCGGATAGCTGATATACGAACGCAACTGATCGAGAAAGAAGCAGTAGATAAGGAAGAAGAAGAAAAGACAAGGTAACTTGGCTTGTTTCTCTATGCTTCTACGTCGCTGTTTTTTGTCTCTCACTTCTAGGGTTTTATTCAGTTTTCTGCAACGTTCGAACGGTTCACGACATCTATAGATCTGTCGTAGTCCAAGCTTTTAGCCCTCTCTGCGCCCTGATTGCGCTTATTGAGTTTTGATTTCCTGAAGGGTTCTTTTGATTCTGGAACTGGTTTGATCTGTGTGCAACTAGATCTTGTATCGATAATTGCGCAGCTGGTTACTTGGTTATTTATATTTGATAATTGTAGTTATCCAATCTTTGCGGTGGCTTACTGGCTTATGTCTTTCGTTATGAGAGAAATGTCGCTGTATCTTTTAAAAGGCGTAACATAGTTTCTCCCTTAGTTTGCAAGGGTGCCGAAATGTACTAAGCTAGTGACTGGTTTTGCTGTGAATCTTATATTAGTTTATGCAGCTGCGGAATCAATCTGGATATTTTTACTTGCTCCTGTTCTATGAACTTCATATGGCGATTTTTGTTAATAATATGCTTGGGTAAAGGTGTATCTCTTGATTTACCAGAAACATTGATTCCTGGGTGTTGCTCTTTAAAGTTTATGGGAGTTTCTTATAAGCTGCAATTGCTTGGAGGAAGCTTTTCATTTTCCGAAGTTATGTTCTCATATATATCTGCGTCTATGCAGGCTTCTTTGCTATGGATTCCAGTGCCACATCACCAAAGTACGAACGCCGCCCATTTTCGATTAAACTATGGCCCCCTAGTGACAACACGAGGCAGATGCTTGTCGCCCGAGTAGCGGGAAATCTGAGTTCACAGTCTATTTTCGCTCAAAAGTATGGGACCCTGGGCAAAGAGGAAGCGGAGGAGAATGCAAAGAGGATCGAAGCTGTTGCCTTCAAAGCTGCAAGCCAACAGTATGATAACGAACCAGATGGTGACGGAGGTTCTGCTGTACAGCTTTATGCTAAAGAATGCAGTAAGCTTATTTTGGATGTCCTGAAGAGAGGCCCTGTGCCAAAGGAAGACATGGAAGATCTTCCGTCTGAGGAAGGAGACCCTGGCCCGAAGGATAGCGTGGAAGTCATCACACCACCTCCCGAGACTTTCTTTGACATTTCCAAGGGATCCAGATCTTTCATAGAGGCAGAGGAGACCGAGGAAATTCTGAAGCCATTGAAGAAGCCTGGAAATTCTTATTCAAAGATATGCTTCAGCAACAGGAGCTTTAGTCTTGAAGCTGCTCGTGTTGCCGCACCGGTTCTGGAGTCCATCAAGGACCAGTTAAAGGAAGTTGACTTGTCTGATTTCATTGCTGGAAGGCCAGAGGATGAAGCTCTTGAGGTCATGACCGTTTTCTCCACTGCGTTGGAGGGCAGCATCCTTAGATCCCTGAACCTCTCAGACAATGCTTTGGGTGAAAAAGGCGTCAGGGCGTTTGAGGCACTTCTCAAGTCACAGAGTTGCCTCGAAGAGCTCTACTTGATGAACAATGGCATTTCAGAGGAAGCTGCGCGAGCAGTTTGTGAACTGATTCCATCTACTGAGACACTTAAGGTCCTTCGTTTCCATAACAACATGACTGGTGATGAAGGAGCACTTGCAATTGCTCAGGTTTTGAAGCGCTGCCCTTTGCTTGAGGACTTCCAATGCTCCTCCACAAGGGTAGGAGCCGAAGGTGGGGCAGCCTTGGCAGAAGCACTAGAGTCTTGCACTAAGCTCAAGACATTAGACCTCCGAGATAATATGTTCGGGACTGAAGCTGCAGTTGCTCTTGCCAAGGCAATTCCCAAGTTTCCTTCCTTGAGCGAGATTTATCTGTGCTATCTAAACTTGGAAGATGAAGGTGCTACAGTTATAGCAGATGCACTCAAGGACTCAGCTCCATCCCTCGAAGTCTTCGACATGATGGGAAACGATATAACAATTGAAGCGGTTCCTAGTATCGCCGCTTGCATTGCATCGAAGCAGAACCTGAAGAAGTTGAACTTGGATGAGAACGAACTCAAGGATGAAGGTGCTGTGCAGATTGCAAAGGCCTTGGAAACGGGCCATTCACAGTTGAAGCGAGTGGATGTTAATACCAATGCTATTGGTAGGGCAGGAGCTCGTGTATTTGCCAAGGTTGTGCTTCAGAAGCCAGAGTTCGAGTTGCTGAATATCAATGCGAATTTCATATCCGACGAAGGGATTGATGAGTTGAAGGAGGCCTTTGAAAAGTGTCCTGAAAAGCTTGGCCCGCTTGACGAGAATGACCCTGATGGAGTAGGTGATGCCGAGGAATCTGATGAGGAGGATGATGGCGACGATGATCGTGAGTTGGACTCCAAGTTGAAGCATCTCGAGGTCAATGAAGAGGATGAATAATTTCATTAATCTATGTCATTGCGGCTATGTAGAAGATAATTGCAGCAGGTTTTTATTTTTCTCGTGTTCTGCTAAAAGTCTTTGCATTTTAGCAGGGCTGTAGGTTGGCATCTCACTTTTGTTGATGAACGTTTAGCGTTTATTCAGTAGGTCGGTAGAGATGTGCGAATGAAACCTGGCTTTCATTCTATATGTATCCTGTTTTGTTGCTAGTCTGTTGTGGACCTTTGCTAGGCAATCTCTGTCGATGTAGCTTAAGAAAAATCTCGGGTCTGAGATTTCATCTCTAGACTCACTTGAATGTTGGATTAGACTTATGGATACGGGTGACGATCCAATTGAACTATACCGTAGCCTATTCTACCTGGTCAGATCAATCACTATTCTGATCCTACATCAACTCCTGGAGTTTTGTTCTTCGCCTGGCAGCCTAAAGGAAGATAATGGCTGGAAAAGATGGATGGTTTTACACAAGATTATGAAATACAGAGTTCTTGCTAATATGGTCATGTTACACAGTTAACCCGAATTCGATAATACATTCAGCTTTCAATCGGACGCTGAGCTTGGAACTGGGGGAAATCGGCACTGAATACATCAACAAACAAGAAAAGTAATGCCGTACAATGCCCTCCTAATTGTTTTTCCTTGATCAGGATCTCATCAGATCCAGCAGCCATTATTACATTACCTCTGCCGTCGGAACTCTGTGCTCCTTGAATCGGACGATGAACTCGGAGCAGTAGGATAGTTGGATCTCTTCTTCTTATGCGTATTCCAAGTCAGTATCTGCCCGCTCCAATTCACGCTGCTGCTTCCACTCCGTGGCTCGAATACCGCATCATCAGCTACAATTCTTTTCGGCAGCGCTACCGGAGTGTACCCGGTGGTGGTGGTGGTCTCTTCACTAGTTCCTTCACTCATCGTCGTCGCTGCACTTTCATTCATGGCAGAAGCAGAATGGCCTACAAGTACTGGATTACCTTCCGATTTCGGTGGCGGAGGAGTTTCGTTTCGCAGCCGAGCTGGCATTGCCGTTGGAAGTTCTCCATTCTCAACGGCCTTGGAAAACTGATGATCGGTCAAAGTATCGGCGTAAATCACTTCCTTCCTTTTTCGCTTCCCCAGCACGGCATTGTGATCAAACCCTTTGCTGGGCTTACTATCTTCCTTGCCGATGTTCTTGTACGCCCATTCGGGGACCTCGTTTTCTTCCATGAGACGGGCCCTGTAATTCTCCTTTCGTTTTCTCTCCCTGTCCATTTCCTCAAAGAGTATGAGTTCGTCCTTCGATCGAGCTGCCAGCCGGTTGATTTCGGTCTCGCTTGGTGCGTCGTTCCCCAGTGCGCTCGTTCCTTTCCGCATTATCTCCTGTAGCAGCTCTCTCCTGTCCTCAGCTGTGAAAAGTTGACAAACCCAAAAAGAGCCGTTCATTTTGAAGCATAATAAGCTTTCAGGACTTGACTAGGGTGGGTTTTCTAGTCTGATAATTTACATACCTGTGGATGTGGTATTGAAAAGTCCCGCTTGGATAACCTTCGCATCGATTCCCATCTTCTGCTTCGCTCGCTCCAAGATCACCTCCTCGATCGAACCAACGCTCACCAGCACAAAAACGCGAACCTCCTTCTTTTGCCCGATACGATGAGCACGATCCTCCGCCTGCTGGTCCATCTGAGGGTTCCAATCGCTATCAAACATGATCACCGTGTCAGCAGTCTGCAGATTCAACCCGAGCCCCCCAGCACGGGTGCTGAGAAGGAACATGAAGTAGGGTGAGTCTGGAGCATTGAATTGCTTCAGCTTAGCCCCTCTTTCCTCAGTTTTGGTAGTGCCATCGAGTCTAAGGTACATGTAACCATGAAGCCTCAGATAGATCTCGAGGATGTTCATCAGTTTGGTCATCTGTGAGAAGAGGAGAATTCTGTGGCCAGTGGCACGTAGCTTGGGAAGCAAGCGATCAAGAAGCTCGAACTTGCCTGAGGCTCGAGTGATTTCATCGATCTGTCTCATGTTATAATCATCACCGACAAAGAGGTATGGATGGTTACAGCACTTCCTCAGCTGCATTGTAAGGTTCTGCAGACTTTTCGACTTCCCTGATCCTGAAATTCATTGAATTTAAGTAAGAGAAGAGCCCTCTTACACTCTCACAGAGCAAACTTTACCAGATCTTACTATAAAATGCACGGTCCTCAAATTCTACAATTTTATGTAAATCTTCAAAAATTACGCTTACACTTGGAAAATGTTACCTTTTTTTATAATCTTGCGATTCTAAGAAATTATAACTAATTTTTATTTTAGTCAAACATAGTCAAAATAATATTCTTAAATCATATTATATTCATAAAATGTTACATATCTCACTTATCTTGATTATTATACACTGACAGATTTGATAAAATGATTCATTTATTCTACTAGCGAGACTGTTTGATCATAGCTGACCATTTAACATTTGTAGTTATTTTCATACGACATTATAATCTTACGACTTCACAGTCGGATCCGATGGCTGCATTGTACAGTACTTCTTGTAAAACTCGATTCTTATAACTATGAGAAAGAGCAGATGTTTGGATAGCAAAATAAGAGAAACAAAAAAAGCCATTATGTTTGCCCTTAGTTTGAGTCCATAGTTTCAGAATGGTACTGACCATTTTGAAGCCCAACTCTGCCCATCTCTGTAATCTGCCGATAATAAACCTTCTGCCATGCTGACATATCGCACTTCAGAATAACCTGAGATTTCGAAGGAAGGAATTTCTCAACCTCATCCTTCCTTCTTCTCAGTATGAATGGTCTTATAACCTGCAAAAAATCACAGATCATGAGTTAGAATACAGACATCTGACGGCCAATCTATCTGGTAGAAATGGAAATCTATGGGCATACGTGATGTAGACGGCGAATAATCAGCAACTGTTCCTCATCAGTAAGACTAATGTCACCTCGATCAGCAAAAGGCGCATTAAACCATTCTTCAAACTTCGCTACTGAATTGAAAATACTCGGGAGAAGAAAGTTCAGGAGCGACCACAACTCTTGTAAGCTGTTCTGTATTGGTGTTCCAGTTAATAGAAGTCTCCGCTGAAACTGAAATCTGTCCACAAAGTCAAAATCACATTGGAGCAACTTATTACCATAACAACTTTCAGGGCGGAAAAGAAGCTGTTTTTAGAGTGAAACAGGAGTTTATTAACATACCCCGAGTCAAGAGTACGAGCAAGGACACTCTCATGGTTCTTCAATCGATGACCCTCGTCGACCACCAGGTAAACCCAGTTAAATTTCTTCAGAAATGATTTGTCCTTCATAAGAAGATCGTAATGTGTGATTAAAACATTGAAGCTCCCCTCTCTGGATAAGTGCTCTCTCATTGCTTTCCTCTCATCTGCACGGCCATCATAAAGAACCGCTTTGATCCTACAGCATGAAAGAAAATATAAGTTAACAGTTTCTCAATATTGAGATCAAATGTTGATTCATATGATACTGTATACTTACTCATCCTCAGGAACCCAAGTCGCAAATTCATTCATCCAATTTGGCAGGACAGCTTTAGGAGCCATTATAATGTGTGGTCCAGCGACGCCTTTCTTCTCCTTGAGATGTGCAATCAATGAAATAGTTTGTATCGTTTTCCCCAGGCCCATCTCATCCGCCAAAATCCCATTTAAATTGTTGTTGAACAGAGAGATCATCCATTGAAGGCCCTCGACTTGGTAAGGCCTTAACTGTCCACCTTTCAGGATGGAGGGCTGCTCTATCACCTGTATTAAGATTTCAAGCAAGTAGATTTCAACATCATTTATGCCATATACAAGCTGTGTCAAAATGAGCACTAAAGCATCAAAATAGCAGAACATCCTTGCTAAGTAAGCAAGATGTGATATAAAGTTTTAGTTAAAAGAGAATAGCTACACTGGACAAAATCAAGAAATGGAAGCTGGGCATAGATGCAACATGTCCTCTGTGTTTGACTGAGTTAGAGACATGCTTATGTGCAGCAGGTCTTGTGGAAGGTATTTGGAGATATAGTTTGGATTTATACTCCAAGCAGGGATTGGCAAGGAGTTTGTGAAGCAATTCAGTTTGTTGAAGAGTTATTTAATAAAATGAAGGCTGTGGCAGAGCTGAAATTGGGGTGTCCACAGTTTGTAGAAGATATGGCAGGAGCTTTACATTGGAAGGCAGAAGGGAATGTAGCAGAATAGTGTAGTTACGTTGTATATAGACGGTTAGCAGTTGTATTTTGGGAGAACAAACTTTGGTTTTGATGAAATAAAATCCATTATTCATAAATAAAAAACTAAAAATAAAATTAAGTTTAGTTAAAGAGTTGGATTTACCTGTTCCTCAATTGAATGAATGGCTGAGTTGTACTGTCGCTGCCCCTCAAGTAAATCAGCGGTGTCCTCGGCATTATTATCAGAATCAGCATCTTCTTCTGGGGTACTCCCAGGGCTTCCATTCCTTGAGGCATCAAGCTCGACTGAATCTCCTTCTGTACCTGGTAAAGGTTCAATTCCATCTCCAGTATCTTTCTGACGCTGCACTGCAGCTCCCAGATTAGCAAGGAGTTTATTTGTTTCCGATAGAAGCATTGTTAATCGTTCATTTTTGCTTTCTTTCACTAGTCTCATGTAGGCTTCCTGGTCATCAGCCTTTAGGGCTTGGAACCTCAATTTTTCAGCACGGGTAGCACGTTGCCTTTGCCTTCCATGCCATGCCTATAAGATATGATTACCTTCAGATCTCATATTCAAGAGACACAAAAGAATAGTTCAAAAACAGCTAATGCAATCTAAAGAATCCACAATTAAGCAACTGTTTGGCCTTCAGATCTCATTTGATTGCAATAACCAAGAAATGAACTTTTGGGTATAGCATTTTAATATCTACTTAGTTCCTCCATGCTGATATTGCTCTCATCACATCGAACTGAGCAGAAATAGGACACAGACAAAAAGATACCTGGATACCATCATTTCTTTGCTTTCGACGTTTGATAGAAGCTTGACTTTGCATCTGCAACTCCCGACCTGCATTAAATACTTCTGCAAAAAACTTTTTCCGTCTAGTGTCTATTTGGTTCCTTTCTTGCTCCTCTAACATCGCCAATCTCTGAACAGCCAAAAACACATAAAGAAACATGTTTGTAACAAGTCATTACACAAAATTTGCATTTGATCGGACTTTGAGCATTTTAAAGTGAAAAAATACCTAATCCAAGTATTCATGTTGGATGGTGTTCCAATCTAAAAGTCGATGCAGTATCATATCACATATGGTGAAAAATACTAGTAAACCATTAAATTCTGTGGCTAATGTCATACCACAGAAACCAACAAGAAGCCATATCATTGGAAATCTGAACCATTACTCGGATGTGGATGAGTTCTATTAGGAAGGATTCTATGACCTATTAAAGAAAACAAGGTCATGGGCTAGCTTCA